GAACAGTGAGCGCGCATTGATACTGTAGGCCTCCTTGTTCCGACTCTTGACAATACGGATGCCGCCACGAGCAATATCCCGGAATCGCAAGTGGAATCCACGGAACTCGGAGCTTATTACCAAGAACATACCGTAGAGGCGCTGGGGATACTCATGTTCCGGCAGGAAGTCGGGGTTGAGTCGGAAGCTGAGAGCAACCTTGGTTGGGGTGAAGAAGTTGGTCTTGAGGATGGAGGCGTTGAACACGCGGAAGGCACTCATGACCATTTCGTCATGTTCATTGGCCGCAGTACTCGAAATGAGCTGCTTCAGCTTGTGGCCGTCCAACACCTCGTCAACCTGCAGACGCAGGTAACTCAGGGTGGGGAGGAAGTCATCCTCGGCGGGACCCCGCGTTTGCACGTAATGCGTGTTGGCGAAGTCCAAGTAAAGTTTGTGGATGAGTTCCGGGTACTTGTTGACGATCTCCAAGATATAGTCTGATGTGAACGTCTCGGTACGCAACCTCTTCTTGATCTTCGCCAACAGCTCCGCATGGACGCTGTTGTTCGAATCCAAAAGATCTGTCAGGGAGATATATTCGGAGCCCAGTCGGTTCAGGAACTGCTGCACGAACACCCAGGCGCAGTGGGCATAAATCGTTTCCTGCAAGCTAAGGCGGCCACTGGCGAAATGGTGCTGGAATTTGTTCTGTGGAATGCAGTACAAAAGGGAGACTTCCTTGATGATCTGGTGAATGGCAGCCTCAATCGGGGGATACTTGGCGGCAATCTCCTTGTTGGGGAGAGGACGCAGGTAAAGCGAAATCACTGTGATGCCGTTGGAGAAGTTCTCCAGGTACTTCCGTGAGCTGGTCAGGCGGTAGTAGTGGTACAGATCGGAGAGCGCGCTGAAAAGCCCCATGGCAGAGCCTTGGCGGTAGGCAATGACCAGTCTCTTTTCGCGGCTCTTTTCGAGCTCAAACAGCTCAATAACTGGGCCGGAGCGGCTGACGGCATTGCTGATGATTTCCTGGTAGATCGCCTTGGTGTTAGGGGTGGCTTTCTGCAGGAACCTCTTTTCGCCGATGATATCGATATTGGTCTCGTACGGATCGGGATTAGGGTTGGCAAACTGGCACTTGTACACGAAGTAACAACGGAGCTGTTGCCCATCATCACCGGGGATAGGTGTGGGGGAACGGAAGGTCTCAACGCGATAGCTGTTGCCTTGAGTCGAGGGGTTGATATACTTCTTATCAATCCGCTGTTCATACCCGGGGCCTTCGACTGTTGCGATACCGGGCTTGCTGGTATCAATGTAGACAGCATGATCTTCTGCTTCCTTATCCAACCGGATTTCGAGCTTCTTGTCGTCACGGGCATAAGCTGCAACCTTGGCAGCATATAGCGAGAGAATCTGCGTGACGATAGCGTCCACAGACTCGGTCTGGAAGTATGTGTCGTCAATGCCGAGCTGGTTGTAGAACCACTCGGTTTCCCCGACGACAAATTCAATGGGAATGAAGCCTTTCTTCTCCAGCTGATCCATAACTAGCGAACGAGAGAGCAAAGAGTCAGATAGGTTGCTACCGATAGAACCAGACGGATTTCGAATTCCACACACCTTGCTCCATTTGCTTTTCCTTCCCTTCGAATTTGGCCGCCACATAGCCGGGGTCTTCCTCTGAGAGAATGCGATGCTGCCCACCACCGGGGATGGCCAGATGCGTGGGCTGCGGCGATGGTTGGCGCACGCTGGAGCCAGCTACGTTGTCAAGGATCTTGTTGTGGGGGTGTCTTTGGAAACCAAGAGGAGTTCCAGCTCCTGATTGAGAACCATCGTTGCTCCCGTACAGTTTCGGCCCCGTCCGCATGGGAAGGGTGTTGTTGCCATTGAGGTGGCCGTCGGAAAGAGGCGACGAAGAAGGCGCGGGAGAGACCATGATGGGAGTGGAGTGGCAAGAGGAGTTTAGAGGCTCAATTGAACTCAGAAAAGAGGCGGCACTAGTGGGTTTTATATCTGCTACTTGGTGAGCCATGCATGGATAACAAAGACAGGAGCCAAGCTGCTAGCAACAATAAGAAAACTGGTTCGTGCGGGAGAATGGAGGGGGGAGAGAGGGAGGGAAGCTGAAGCCGGGAAAGATAAGGCAGCCACACAGCTGCATGAAGATGTGCAGGAGATGGCACCGGCGCAGGAAAATATAGAAGGGAGCAAGAAGGGAAAGAATGGAAATTCTAGACCACAAGCGACAAACTTACCTCAATGGGAGCGGCGATTGATGCAAAGGAAAATTGGTGATCTGGCGTTGCTACGGGCCAGGGCAATGACGAAAGGTCGAAGCTTATCGGGGAGAGCAAGAGAAATGAGCCAAACAGACTGAAACGGGTTCACTTGTCGGTACCAGCCATCAACTGACACGTCACCAATGAAATGCACAGAGAAGTTCAGTTGGGAGAGTTTTAGGATTTCACAGATGAGAGGGGAAGACGGGGAGAGAAGAGGGAAGAGTAAGTAGTAGTGGAGAGGATTCAATTTATCCAAGAAGGAAAGAAGGATGCGAATTCAAATCAGATCAGATCAAATCAAATCAAATCAAATCACAAGGGAGGTGATTCACTGTGATGGACACGAACAAAGCAGTGGAAATCCGGTGCGAATCCACACGGCAGATGCTGGCTCTTTATACAAACTGGAGCTGAAGCCAGACGAAGTGTCGTGTTCCCCCAACGGTAAAACAAATAATAATAATTGAATAATAAACATTTCTTATTATCACATCGAAAGAAAAAGAAGAATTAGAAAATAAAAAATAAAAATAAAAAAATCTGAATTTTCCCAAAACGAAATTAATCCGAAATGGCACAGCCATTATTAAGTCATACCTGCAACACTTCTTTGGGAAGCCCAAACAGTTATCATTCGGCCAGCCAGCCAAACCCAGAGAGCCGGCGCTATGCGATCGGCCAGGAACGGGGCCCGGTCCGGGGCAAGTCGTTGGACGGCCTGGCTGTTTCTGCCTGAGGATCATGGATGGCCCGCCCTTGTGCATGGGTCTCCACGTTGCCGTTGTGGTCTCCAACTGTCAAATTCATGTTTTGTTCCTACTCAAGATACCACGGTGGCTAGATACTTTATGTAGTACAGATTCAATGAGGCTTGTACGCCGGGAGTAGACTGTTGTATATGAAGCGGTAATTTCATCCATGGGAGATTTTTATTTTCTCTCCTTGCCTTACTCCCATGTACGTCCCCTTCTTTTCCCTTCTTCCTTTTCCCTTTCCTTCATTGATACTGGCCCGTCTGTGCAACGGCTCCACGGCGGATGACTCGATTCACGATGCCAAGTCGAGTGGGTCCCAGCTTCCTTTTTCGGTATCGCGAACCATTTTAGTTCAAATGAGGCAAGTGTGGAAAATACCGCAAGATACCGACGTGATTGGTAGCCCAGGGCTAAAAATGGAAAAATTGCCTCAGATGCTTTGGAACAGGAGCTGGAGTCATTGTGGCTGGTTTGCCGGTTCATAGTTACTAACAAGGTATGGAGTAAAAGAGAGTGTCACCTGAGTTCAGTCCAGGGGCGGCGGCGTCCAGGCAAAAATTTAGAATAAAGTGAGTCCTTGTCGCGTGAGACTTCTACAGGATAGATCCAAATTGAGATCTATTACTCACTATAGATAGATAGTGTGTGAGTATGTGTCTGTGTGAGAAACTCGATTGAGATGGCCGGTAAGGTCTTTGACCACCTGCATGCAGTGAGGTCAGTCAGTAAAAGTAAGTAAGTAATAAAGTAGGTAGATAGTAGAAGGCCAGTTACAATTTTCTTCCCCGTAAGATACTCCGTTACAGCATCCATACTTGCCTCTAAATTCCCGGTTTAGTCAGCTGACCGGACCGGCTGGAGGGGGGCAACAACTCCACTTAGTAGGGCTGTAGGTTTCGAAAGGGGGTTTTGGTGTGTCATGGTGGCCAGTCCGCTGCAAATCATCGCCGACGATGCCGAATTTTGCAGGTTTCTCTGCGTAATGGCGAGCATCAACGAAGGGAAAAATGCCGCACTTGATTGCTCTTCGGGCTTATCATATTAGCAACCGGGGTTTCTTATCGGATGTGTAGCAGATAGATAGCAGCAAGAATTCGAGTACTTTGTCATGGTTAATTGTGATCGGTTGAGGGTTTCTTCAATGCTACTTACCACGTTAGACTACTATAGATACAGATTATCTTTTTTAGGAATAGATCTATCAACTTGGCCCAGAATCATTGGGCTCTTTTGTGTCCAGCCTGATAAACTGACTGATAACTAAACCTACTTCGTACTTGACCGCAGTGAGGGAAGGATGGATCACACACACCGCCATTACATTACCACTTTTGGGAGATTTGCACTGTCGGGGATAATTGATTAGTTGGAATTGGGTAAATCCTTAGTACAAAAGAAGTAGCATTGAGTTAGCACGCAATTTCCAATTGCTTTGAGTGTGAAGTCATATGTGTCCGTCGAAGTTTCCTCACGCATCTAGACTTGCGGGGGGAAAGGTCGATCGGTACCTGGAAGATGGCCCGTGGCTACCATTCCTGTACTATTCTCAATCCATTCCTAGTCAACTTGCGGGGAGGAGAGGGTTTGAGGAAAACTGCCTACTAGTCTCCAACTCCCCCAGTCAAATGAAATGCTTCGGAATCCCCAGCCGGAATTCCCATTATTAAAATGGCTCAAGCCTACCCCGTGCTATTACCCCATAGAAAGTCCGTCCGCGTATCCTCTTTTCCCCAAAGTTCCAAACTCCCAACGTTCCCCTCTTCTTCCAGAGGCGGGGGTGGATAATTGTCCCTTTTCCTCATTCTCTTTCTTTCTCTTTCGCCCCTTCCCCTTGGCTGGTGGAAGTGGAACGGATGGGGATCAGACTTCCAAACATGAGTGGTTTTGCTTTAACCCACCGGAGGCTCCACTTGCTCGTCGTCTCGAATGGTCCATATGAAGTAATGAGAACTCCATCACTGGAAGACAAAATAATACTCCCGGACCATGCGCCATCCCCGGTGGCTCCTATTCGCTGTCGGCTGCTTCATTCGGTTGTCGTGAGTCCTTGATGCAATGACGTACAACCCGCCATTCGCTGCCCGGATGCCATGCACACCGCAAGACTAGTAGTAATTCAGACATGCTAACATCCAACGGGATGAGGCACGCACAAGGGGTGTCGCGCATTCTGCATCTTGTGACTCCCGAGTATTTTCACCGTCTTTGCTACTTGATTGCTCGAGGCCGGCTGCTGGTCGCTGATAGGTGCTTAGTCTTTAGAATTGTATCAAAGACACTCAGCTGAATAGGCTCTCGGACAGCTTTGCATGAAGACACGGCTGCTGCTGGGAGGAACTTTATCCCGGCGACATATCATCAGCAAGTCCGATCCCGACAGGTCACATACCAAGGACAACTCTGTCACCTGCATTTCAGAGTTTCGAATGGTTGGATGCAGTCAAGGCTGCTTGGTCGCTGCCATTGCCCTCGTGCACTGGAGGTAGTTAGGGGGCAGTATAATGGCTGATGAGCTGCAGACATCTATCATTTACACTCTGCAGCATCTGCATGCAAACCACGTTGATCAGCTTCCGCTTGGTTTCCTCTCACTCCTGCATGGTGCAAGCTGCAATACAACCGGCTTGAGGAGCTTGTGGTCGTCTTCGCTCACAATGAGTAGGTCCTCCGACAAGATCCTACTGGACGGGATACAGTTCACCTATCTATATTGCGCCGGGTGAATCCATCCATAAAGCACTCAGCGTGCTGCATGGTGAACTAGTTTACACCTGCAATGATTGTCATTGTAAAAGTTCGAAGTTGATACAGTGAAACTTTGCTCTACCTTGTGTACAACCAATCGAACAGGTAACGAGTGCAGTGGATTGAGATATAGCTGTAGAAGATTCATGAGGGCTGATGATGGTAAGTACCCGTCACAGCGGACTTTACACTTTCCCTATTTCTTGCTGTTCAAATCTATGTGATCCGTTTCCAGGCTCTCTCATAATGCAAGGTACACAGAAACAAACACATGAGCGTCCATATCATGCATCCAAGGGTCCCACTGATCTGGCCATCATTAGCAGACCCAGATATAGAACGTCGAAATAACATACAATAGAGGCTAATCCCTTTTGGTTTGCCAAACTTTTAAGCTAGAGACGCCTAGTATGTCAGGTGACGCTGACAGCTGATAACCTACTGATTCCTCAGTGCAAAGACCACTCTGCATTAGGCAGTCTCCATATTACTCAGAAGGGAATCATTGGATCACACTATCAATCTCTAGTCGTCTACAAACAGCTACTATTGAATTCTGCCTGTCTGTCTGGTATAATTGAAACAATATGATACAACCACCATCTACCGCTTCTTGATGCTCACGTCAATGTTACCAATTGCCCACGCGGCAACGAACACGGTGAACAGGCCAGCCGTGATAGTCACGGGCTTGCGCAGTCCATCCCACAGAGAGTAGTCGTAAGTGATCTATATCCAATGTGTGAGCTTGACTATTTCTGATATGTATCCGGTGTATGTAGGTAGTTACTTACCACAATCTGCGAGTCACGGGCCTCATCCGTCAACTCCTCCACGGTCAAAGTCAGCGCCGTGCGTCCCAGGGTATCCATGAAAGTCTTGTGGCTGGTGAGCTCAGTCTGGATCTGGTTGGCACCGGGGAGGCCATTGCTGGTCGCCTTCTCGAGAAGCTCGTAGCGGACGTTCCGGGCACCCTCGGGGAGGATGATGCGCACGACAGCCTTCTCGTACTGAATACCCTCGGGGACCTTGGGGCCCTCGATGAAGGGGACCTTCAGGACGTAGGAATCAGCGCCGGTAACAGCCTTGCGGAGGAAGGCAGAGAGGTCGTTGTTCCAGCCAATGCGGAAGCTGTAGTTCCATCCGCCGAAGATGGGGAACCTGGGACGAAGTTCCAGGGAGGCGTCACGGTTCGGGACCTTTCCGGGGCGGTAGCGGCTCGTGGAGACGTTGCCAATGTCGTCGGTGAAGTAGGGGTCCACGGAGCCGGGCTTAAGGGGGATCTTCAGCTCGCGAATAGCGGAGGATGGCAGCTGCTGGTAGCTGCTGATGGTCCATTCCACGCGGTTGAAGTTGTCGGTAAGCTTGGAGCCGTTGTTGCGCAGCCAGTAGCGCTCTTCCGTCGCCAAGTTGCCGCCCCAGTGGGACACTTCCAGGTCACGCTCCAGAAGAGTGGCAGTGATGACGGGCTTGGTGAACTCGTACCGGACACTGGCCGGGTAGGTGGTCTCGGGAGCGATGTCGGCGTAGGGTCCGTAGGTGTAGGTGGCACCCTGGCGCTCTGGATCCGCGCCCGACGTCAGGTCCGTGGTGGTGTAGTCGGGGACAATGGTGCTGGGGAACTTGATCTTGGTCTTTTGGGTCGCGGTCGAGTACGCCGAGGGAGCGTAGGCCGAGAAGGCATAGGCGAGGTACTGGCGATCATTCTGGCTGATGGCCGCAGGACGAGGCTTCAAGGTGTTGAGGGCGGAGTAGGAGATGCCCAGGGTGATTTGCGACGAAGGGGCAAGAGGCTTGGGGAGGTGAACAACAAAGTACTGGAAGTCCCTGTATGTTCATGAAAGAAAAAAGGTCAGCAAGCCGTTCTAGATACCTCCACCATACATAGATCAAGCAACCGTGGCTTCGTCCTCCACCAACCCAGCCATTGGCCGCCATTGCGAACGACTTACCTGTTCGAATCGAACTCGGTAGCTTCCACCTCGAAGCGACCCTGTTCAGGAGCCGATTTATCACGGACTTCTAGGGCACCGACCTTGTCGTAAAGGTCTGACGGGAAGGACAAGTAGTAGTCGGACTGCGGCTTCTTGTCCACATTCTCAACGACAACATTGACGGTCTCACGCAGATAACCCTTCTCCAAATTGGTGTTGCGGACGAGATTGGTGTTCTTGAACACTTGGGGAGGCTTGAAATCGCGAGGGAGAGCTACAGGGGAGCTCGAGGGAGTCGAGTCGGCATAAACCAAGCTGTTGCTGCTGGACAGGAACAAGCCGCACAGCGCAGCGAGTGCGGTAAACGGCCTCATAGTGGGCGATATGGGCGGTCTTTCAACGACCACGCCTAGGACCTATACACTCACCAGGAGATAGTCCCAAGGAGAAAGAAATGAGCGAGAGGATGAACGGGAAGGTGGAGGAATTGGGCGACAAGTCGAGGGGGAGAAAGAGACGCGCGGAGATGCTGAGGTGTCCCGATGCGGGATTACGAATTACGTACGGCGACCGCCGCGGCCAAAACTTCCTGCTTTTATCGCCGATAACCCGCGATTCCTCCTTGCAACTCTATCCCCGCACTGTCTAGCTACGAGACTCTCGCTTTTTTTTCCTTGTAGTTTTCAGGTCCCAATCATCGTGGTCTCTATGCTCGCTTCTCGAGCTGCTGCTCGTTCATGCTGCCGGTCAGCTAGAGCCCCGGCACGAGCCGCGGTAGCAGCCCGGCGCTATCATGGTCTCGCTCAGAGCAAGCTCTTCAAGGTGTCTGAGGAAGTCCGCGATGCTGTTGCTACTGGGAAGCCTGTCGTGGCTCTCGAGTCGACCATTTATACTCATGGTATGGTTTCTACCTGCTTGGTTGGTTGGGTATAGCTGACAGTTACAGGATTTCCCTATCCTGAGAGCGTTGCTCTGGCAGAGTTGCTAGAGTCGGTCGTCCGGTCCAATGGCGCTGTGCCTGCTACAATTGGAATTCTTGGTGGTGAAGCACGCGTTGGATTAAGTCCCGAGGAGCTCGTCGAGCTAGCATCAACTGCGGAGAAGAAGAATGCGCTGAAAGTGTCCCGGCGAGACCTTGGTTACATCTGTGGCTTGGTAGGTGGGAGGGTTCCTTCTCATCGATACACATCTGACAGTAGTAGGGGCTGGCTGGCAAACGCCTTCACGGGGGTACAACGGTGTCCGGTACGATGGTGCTCGCGCACTTGGCGGGGATCAAGATATTCGGCACTGGTGGACTAGGTGGTGTGCATCGTGGCGGCGAGAACTCCATGGACATCTCCGGTACGTGAAGCTATGGATATAATGAGAGTCCGGCTAACTATAGCAGCCGACCTTACTGAACTGGGACGCACGCCGGTGGCGGTTGTCAGCTCTGGGTGCAAGAGCTTCCTGGACATCCCGCGTACGCTTGAATACCTCGAGACGGAGGGCGTCTGTGTGGGAACATTTGCGGACGGTCGTCAGGGCTCCGTAGACTTTCCCGCATTCTACACCCGGGACAGCGGCCTGAAGAGTCCAAAGATCATTCAGAACGAGGCCGAGGCCGCGGCTATTGTCTGTAAGTCTTGCTGCATTTTTCTCTGACGCACATAAGATACTGATGAATACAGACGCCCAGTCGCAAATCCCCGTCTCGTCGGGCATCCTTCTCGCCAACCCTGTACCACTTGAGCACTCTATTGCAGGGAGTGATATGGTCCATATCATCGACGAAGCTCTTCGCCTCGCAGACGTCGAGGGCTACCATGGAAGTGACAACACGCCCTTTGTGCTGGCCAAGATCAAGGAACTCAGCGGCGGAAAGAGCGTGAGTGCCAACCGAGCTCTGGTAGAGGCGAACGTGAAGCGCGCGGCCAAGGTTGCCGTAGAACTCTCCAAACTGGAGCGGTCTGGGGGGTCGCTCAATGAACGGTGAGCTGCCACTCGTGCGTTCAGACTCGGGATATCCTAATTGAGATGGTGTGCGCAGACACATGCCAGCTTTCTCCGGGACCAGTAGGGCTGACCAAGCGACTGAAACAGAGCTGGAGCATGCAACTAAGACTCCACTGGAGACTGTCACGAAGGCGGATGTCCTCGTGGCCGGCTCCTTGGCCATCGATCTTTCCTGCGACTTTGCCCCGGCCGAAGCAAACACCACGACGCCAGCTTTGCAGACATCAAACCGTGCCGTCATCGGACAGAGCCTAGGGGGAGTTGGACACAATGTGGCCATTGCCGCAAGGTATCTGGACAGCTCTGTGCTATTCTGCAGCGTTGTGGGTGACGACCTAAGCGGTCAAGCTGCGCTGTCCAGTCTCCGACAGGAGGGTCTCTCCACAGCCGGCATCAAGGTGCTCCCTCCGTCCTCCGGAGCACGCACGGCCCAATACATCGCCGTCAACGACGCGAAGAAAGACCTAGTAGTAGCCATGGCGGACATGGCAATCATGGAACTACCAGAACAGGCACTAGACTTTGACCACTTCTGGGAACCGATGATGTCCCGCGCACAGCCTCAATGGGCAGTAGTCGACGGTAACTGGAACGACGAGGTCCTAAGCAAATGGGTATCCCTAGCCAAGAAGCACAAGGCACGGGTAGCATTTGAGCCCGTTTCAACAGCGAAAAGCCGTCGTCTATTCAGATCAGCCATCAAGCCGTCCGACTGCGTTCCCAATAACACTGTCAGCCTGGCTGCTCCGAACCAGTTCGAGCTAGCAGCCATGTACCAAGCCGCGCGGGAGAACGGACACCTGGACTCAGAGGCATGGTGGCGTATCATCGACGCCATGGGAATGACGGGATCAGGGTCACGCGAACGACTAGTAGCCATGACCTCGGCGACGCTGGTCGACCAGGGAATCCCACAGCAAAGCATCCAGCTGCTGCCGTTTATCCCATGCGTGCTCACCAAGCTAGGCCGGGAAGGCGTGCTTCTGACGCAGCTGCTGCGGCCGGGCGATGCGCGACTGACAAGTCCGGAGTCAGCACCGTATATCCTCTCGCGGGCGTTGACGTCGGACGGGCTGATCGGGGGAGTGTACCTGCGGCTGTTCCCCGCAGCAGCAAAGCTAGATGAAACGGACATTGTAAGCGTGAACGGAGCGGGAGATACGCTGCTGGGGGCAGTAGTGACAGGACTGGCGCGGGGAGGAGCGGTGGAGGAGGTGATTCCCCGAGCACAAGAAGCGAGCGTATTGACATTGCAGCAGGAAGGGGGAGTAAGTAGAGAGATATCCAGACTAGCTGGAAGTATATAGTGCGTTCATACTTATCCATGATCTATGAAATGGCATTAAACAGACATGCTACTACTATACATACTACGCACACCCAAAGAAACCAAAAAAAAAAAAAAAAAAAAAAAAAAAAAAAAAAAAAAAAAAAAAAAAAAAAATCCACCCTAAGAAACAACCATATCCACCCCCTCCGCCCCAACAACAGGCAATCCATCTCTACTCAAAACCCCCACCTGCACCAACACACTGGCCTGATCCCAATAAGCATGCACACGGGCGACCTTTCCCGCCGTGAAACTGGCCACCAGCACCAACGCCACCTTGACCTCCTTCCCCGTTGCAGGCAGATTCGGCAGTAACCAGGGGATAGCACGATCATGCGTGAAGGTTAGGAGAAGTTCATCGACGATGCGATCAGGCCCTGTAGTGCGGGAGAGCAGCCGGATGGATTGGTTAGAGGGGGAAGGAGTGGGAGAGAGGAAGTGGCTGTTGGTGTAGAATTTCGTTATGGTGGAAGGGGTTGTTCCTATGCCATCATCAACTTTCATTAGTATCTCGTCATGGTTACTACTATATATCACTGTGATATATTATGATGGGAGAATGGAAGGGAGGGAATGGATATACATACCACCAGCACAAGTAGGCACACACACCACGACAGGCGACTCTTCAATCGTGCATGTTTCTGTCTCTGTTCCCTTCCCAGCACCACGGGTAGTAGTATATAAATGTGAGGAAGAACTCCCACTACTATGCACACTCTCCAGCTGCACCCCCATTCCACTGCCCACCATTAACCCTACCAGTTCCGCTGCGCGGTGACTGCGCTCGTCTTCTTCGTCTCTTTCACTACCTCCACCACCACCACCACCTCCCGCTTCCCCAGAAGTAGAAGTGGAAGTGGAAGTGGAAGACAAACACCGCCAATACTCCTCCCACACGCTCTCGACATCCGGCACTCGCCATTTCGTCGCGGGCCATCCGAAACCCCGCTTTAGGGTCTCGAGGGCGCGAGACCATGCTAGGCGTGCGGAGAGCTTGTCATAGTTTGATGAAGAAGGTTCGGCGAATCTAGGGGATGACTCGGGGTAGGTGAAGACATGGCAGCGGTGGCGTTTCCGGGGATGGTTTTTGGTGCTGTTGAGGAGGGTGTCTGCGATTGAGGAGGTGGTGGTGGTGGAAGTACCGGCGAGGTGGATCTGGATACAGAGGAGAGGGACGGAGGGGGGGTAGGTTGTTGGTGTTGTTGTTGAGGATGTACTTCCTGTTGCTCCGCGAGAGGTATCTGGGAATAAAGGGTTACTGCTGTTGTTGTTGGTGGTGCTGGTGCTGGTGAGAGGTCCATCGGGGTAATATGCCACTAGGGCACAGAGTCTGGGGAAGGGGTTTGTGGCTGTTAGTGGTTGGTGGTGGGATTCGAGGAGGAGGTGGGCGGGTTTGTTGTATGCTTTATATATCATACCATCAGTTACTATTATACAGAACATAAGATAGATTAGAGGTGAATTTGGATAGAGGACCTACCAACGACGGCATATCTTTCGCCCGGCTCGAGATCATCTTCCCTCTCATGCAACAGATTCTCCAATTCCTTGCGCTCTTTATCTACATCTCCACAGCCATCTGTTGCATTTTGACACCCCCGGAAGGGGAGATACTCGACGTCGAACCCTTCAGCGCGGAAGCGCGATAGGATTCCCGCGTCGAAGTCGGGAGTATCGGAAGTCAGGTAAAGTCTGCGTGGGGGAGAGGCTTCTGCTTCGCGACGACGACTGTGTTTGTCGTTGGCTGATGGGGGAGATTGTAGTGGTGTACCATTGCTGGTGGTAGGGTTAGTGCCGGCGGAACTGCTGCGGCGACGACGGAGGTGTTGGCGGAGACGGTCCATTCTAAGTAGTATTATTCAGAGTATTCCAGTATATATTGTGGTATAGTAGATGTACTGAAGTAATATGGTCATCCATGGTGCGAAGTCCGAGCATCCCGATTTATATATATATATATATTGGTATGCTGGCTTATGCTTTGGCGGACATGCTCAGTGACGTCGACGATTCCTGGGTGTTGTTTCTCATCTCACAAGGCGACGTGGATCCATTCAGCCAGGGACGGGTTGAGTAGTATTAACTTTGTGTGTGTACACCGTAAGTTAGTTAGTAGTTGGGTTGTAAATCAGCCCGATCCATTGCATACATATATGCGTGGCAATTCTATCGCATTATCGTATCTATCGTGAGTCAGTGACGTCGATCTATATACAAGTCTCGAGTTTTCCATCCCTCGCATAGCGCCACCGCTCAATGGCGTCAACCACTGTACCACAATGCTGCTGCACATCTACTCGAAACTGGTCAACCAGCGAATCTCCTCCCTTACATTCCCCTCACAAGCCGGATCCTCAACCAAATAGCACCGATACGCCGGGCGCTGCAAGCTCCGCCTCGCGACCTCACAGTCCACCCGGATATCCTCGATCAACGCCTCCGACGAAACATAATCATATTCAGGACGAATATATCCCAGAATCAGCAAGTTGAGTGGCGTGCCATAAAAGTCGGGCATTTTGTGGAAGGTGACCTGTCCGTCGGTAGAAGTAGTGGCGGTCGGCGAGGGGGCGGAGAGGGGCGGCATGATGTGGATTTCCTGCATTGCAGACAATAGAGCATTAATTTATTGCATATTTCAAGTGGTGTAAAGAGGGGGTAGGTAAATATGGGTGGTCGGGACATACAATCGACTTGGACTCGTTCTTGTAGAAGGGATTGTATCCGATGCTCAGCACCGCCGGGCGGATGGTCTCCCCCGTTGCGAAGCGCGCTGGGTCGAGCGCCACGACGCCGTAGTAAACGCCTACAGACAATTCGGGATGCTGGGAGAGTTCATCGGCGGGGATGTTGGCTGTTGGAATGCCCAGCTGTGGTTCTTTGCGTCAGTTGGAGCTGCTGGACTTCCGGGGTGCAAGGTACCTCTTTGCTGCCCCGCCCGAAGCCTTTGATGACAGGTCCACTCATGCGGATGGGATACGGGGGCTCCGGTCCCTCGTCGGGACCGGTGACGGGGTCGCGAGGCCGATCGGGGCGCATTTTGAAAGCAGTGATGAGGGGATGGTGTTGAAACAGTAGTAGGTGGAGGAGGAGAAGAGAGGGCGAGAGAATAAGATGGAAGAGAGATCGGCGATAAGACAGGTGGGGCTATGGACTATCAAACGATGCGATTGTGGAGTTCAGGCTTCATGATGGCATCCACCAACTGGCCAATTATCTACTCCTCTTTCCGGCTTACAGAGTTGCACGCTTATTCGCAGACAGATAAAATGGTATATTCAGGATTATCTACGTTCATCCCGTTTTGCCGTAACTCCGTTCCTCTAATGGATGATATGACTCGTACTATCAGTTTAATCGTAACTATTTTACTCCATCTCAATCGTCGCCGGAGGCTTGCTGGAAATGTCGTACAGGACACGGGACACTACACCAGTTAGCAGATATTCCTGGTGTTAGAAGAAGGATGTAACATACCGCCGTGGACCTCGTTGATGATGCGGGTCGAGCACCGGCTCAGGAACTCGTTGTCGAAGGGGAATGCGCGCGCCGTCATGACTGCCATCTGTTAGTCCATCATCACCAGCAAAGTAATCAGCTCACTTACAGTCGGTCGTCTCAACAGCACGCAGGATGATGATCTCGGCGTACACACGCTTGTCACCCATGACACCCACCGCCTTGCTGGGGTCCAGGGCAGCGTAGGCCTGCGCAATCTGGTCGTACAGACCAGCCTCGCGGATCATCGAGATGAAGATGTGGTCGGCCCGGCGGGCAATCTCCACGCGCTCGGGGGTGACCTCGCCGAGAACACGGATGGCAATACCGGGACCGGGGAAGGGGTGGCGCATGACCAGCTCGTGAGCAATGCCCAGCTGGCGACCCAAGGCACGCACCTCATCCTTGAACAGCTCACGGAGCGGCTCAATGAGTCTCATGCCCTGACCGTCAATCATGCGCTCTGTGATGGATTAGCGGGTTGCCAGATATTCCAGAACCGAAATACTTACGGGGCAGACCACCGACGTTGTGGTGGGTCTTGATGGTCGCCGAGGGACCCTTAAAGGAGATACTCTCGATGACATCGGGGTACAGAGTACCCTGGAGGAACCACTTGATCTTGGCACCCTGGTGCTCGGCCTCGGCCTCGATCTTCTGAGCCTCCTCCTCAAAGACGTCAATGAAGGTGTTGCCGATGAACTTGCGCTTCTTCTCGGGCTCGGTGACGCCCTTGAGACCATCCAAGAAGCGCTTGGAGGCGTCAACGACAGTCAAGTTGATACCAAGGTGCTTGTTCAGGGTCTCCTCGACGATGTCGCACTCGTTCAGACGCATGCAACCGTTGTTGACGAGCACGGCGTGGAAGCGGTCGCCGATGGCCTCCTTCATGAGCTTGGCAGCACTGCACTTATTAGCACCACCCGAGAAATTGAATCAATGGCAATCAACTTACACAGTCGAGTCGACACCACCGCTGACAGCACCCAGAACATGGTCAGTCTCACCGACCAGCTTGCGAATGCGGGCAATCTCCTGGTCGACGAAGCGGGACATGGTCCAGTTCTGTTGAGCACCGCAAATGTCGACGGCAAAGTTCTTCAGAATGGTAGCACCGAGAGGGGTGTGGGTGACCTCGGGGTGGAACTGCACACCGTAGAGGGGCTTGGTCTGGTGGGCAATACCGGCATAAGGGGAGTTGGAGGTGGTGGCGATGGTGTGGAAGTCGGTGGGGAGCTTGACGAGCTTGTCACCGTGGCTCATCCAGACCTTGATCTGGCCCTCGAGGCCGGCGAACAGCTTGTCGACGTGGCCCTGGTCGTCGAGGCGCTTGGCGTGGAGGTCGGCGTGACCATACTCACGCTCGGTACCGGCGTCAACGTTGTCCTTGCCCAGACGGTAGGCGATTTCCTGCAGACCGTAGCAGATACCGAGGATGGGGACACCGAGGTCGAAGACGGCGGGGTCAGCGTGGGGGGCTGTAGTTGGACAGAATGAGTATGACTCCAGAAAATGGTTCCGCGGGGAGGTTTCCGCTTACCGCCGTCCTCGTAGACACTGTAGGGACCACCAGACAGGATGATACCCTTGGGCTTGAAGGGCAGATCGGCGACCTTCTGAGTGCATGGCAGCATCTCACTGTAGACATTGATCTCGCGCAGTCTCCGGGTCAGGAGATGCGTCTGGGGAGGAGGATTAGTATGTGAGTCATGGGGATGGCGGGGTAATTGATGCACTGGAAGCGGCAAAGGAAGTGTGGCATAGAGGGAGAGCGTACGTATTGAGAACCAAAGTCAAGAATGAGGATGGTGTCAAAGGTGGCATGGGGAACCTCCTGGTCGGCCATTGTGACGGTGGGCAGTCTATCAGACCAATTGATGAACTTTCGACTTGCAGCTGAACCCGACAAGAAGAAGATCTTCCATCTTTCTTTGCCGCTCGAGAATTTTTTTTCTCCCGGGCGGTGAGCACCGAATGCGGAGGTGATAAAAATAGCCAATAGAAGTGCATCTGTCAAAGGCGGTCTAATTGATAACAAGCTAGATGATTATCAGTCACGTGCTAATTACATAATATGCATAATATAACTCGGGATACAGAGCTATATATGCATGCCAGCCCTAAATACAGAACCGACGCCAACAACAAAACTGGCATTCTCCTCGACGAGTCCAACATGTGAAAACAACTCATCAGTGTATATAATGGAAATGTAGATCACTCGTATCCCCCACTCACTTTTTCAGAGATTTTACCCTCTCTCCAAATTGACTCACGACAATCTCTGAAAACTCAGAGCAACCGAAAGGACCCCACTAAGCCCGATATAAACTAAAGCTGCGGCTCCTGCATCCCAAATACGAGCAGGGCCAGAGATTACCCCCCTGAACATGGTTTAGCGGCGGGCTCTGCCGCCTATTTTAGGTAGAAGGGTCTTGTGCTTCGGGGGACAGTTCTGCGCCGAGTCTAAACGGGGAGGGCCACTACGACACTCTATTTGCTGAGAGGGATCGATTAGAGGATGAGGCTACGCTAAGAAGAACCTTCAGGGAGATGAGGGTCTCGTAAACACGGAATACAGGGTTCTTGTCGTCAGGGGTCAAAGTGTAGCTAAGTAGATTTGGTTGTGACTTTGTGAGACATAAAGTAGTACAAATTGGGGCTGTTCCTGTTTCATTCTTTCTTTTGTTGTAATCACACATACCTGCTTCCTATTCATCTATCTTTCCTCCTATCCTACAGTCTTTACTCTGATTGTACCTCTCACTGTCCCTACCGCTACCATATACAGACACATCTACACACACCATCCAACAAAAGGATAAAATAACCGCCAAAATGCAATTCACCAAATCCACTCTCCTCACTCTCCTCCCCCTCCTTCCTCTCACCACCGCTGCCGACGTCTCAACCGTCTCCCTCTTCACCTACCACCCAGCGACCACCGCAGGGGCCGACATCCCCGAATTCTCTCTCGCCAGCATCCCTCTCGGCGCCTCCATCATCAGCGCCAACCCCACAGCCACCACCATGGCCGTCTCATGCCTCAACGACGATAACTGCATCCTGCCCAGCCCCATCACCGTCACCGCCGGTCCCTCCACATACACCCTGTCCGCTGTGTACAGCACCAGCATGGAGGGTGTGCAGGAGGTGCTCACCGTCGTCGAGGACTGCAAGATCACGGGCGTGACGCAGGGCGCGTCCTGCAGTGTGAGCTATGGAGTCGAGGCGACGTACAAGGGAGTTAGCACGAGTACGGCGAGCAATACGCAGATGAGTATCGCCAGTGCGGAGATTGGGTATGAGACTGTTAGCGTTACTGGGGGTGCTGATAAGTTGAGTGGTGCGACTGCGACTGGAACTGCTAGTGGAAGCACTGAGACGGGTATGGCTGGACGGAATGCTGTCGGGGCTGGGGCTTTGGCTATTGGTGTGGCTGTTGCTGGGTTGGGAATGTTGTAGATTATGATGCTTGACTATGATTGATTAATTTATTCGCAAAGGGGTATGTTGTGGAGAATATAATGTTTGGTTACTACTTCCATCTATGCTTAGTATATGTTGCTCATCATACTCAGTTGCAACTACATGGCTAGCTACCATAGCCACTTTCAATATGTACAACGCCTCTATGTCAGCCTGGGAATCATACACAGTAGCAATATGTACCAATACAAGACCAGAATTGCTTCTAGTCATTGCCAAAACAACAAAATGGCTAGCGGTAAAATAAATCAACAATCATCCTTTTTGATATCCGGCCCGGGTATGAACATGAAACAAATATGATCATAAATCAAATGCACGGTAAGAACTATACACACATTAGCATCATCACATCACCGGTACACTGGTATACTCACATTCATCACAATCAACATCGGTATGTCGAATACATCTCGCTTCACTGTCCAGCAGTACGCACATTCGACCTTGCCGTCCTTGAACCCTAGCTGGTTCATCCCCGCCTCGCTGGCGATTCCCCCCTTGCGCAAGTGGTTGTTCCAGCGCTGGTTATCCTCTGCGGCCGCGCCGTCCATGTCCTCCTTCGTCTTGTACTTTAACAACTTGCATGTTGTCATCACACTACCGCGCGAGTCGCCAAACGCCAGCCGTGCGAAATCCTCATAGAACTGCACCACGCTGTCATCATCCAATAACTCTGCCAGGAATACTGGCTGCGGGCGCCCGGGCGCACTGTCCACTGTCGACCGAGGCGTGAAGCTGCGCGACGACGCCCCGGAGTTCGGCATTGATGAACCGCCCGTGTTGACATTGAGATTCGGCTCTTTGCCGAGCAGCACATCCTTCTTCCATCCCGTCAGGATACTGAACTCCTTGCCCACCGCGGCGATCTCGCCCGTCCGACGGCACACGATGGTTGGCGTGCCACACGCGTTGATAAAGTCCTCATATTCCCACAACGTCCGCTGGAAGCACTTCTCCATGAAGATCAGGTCGTCCCGGTTGAGCGTCTTGGTCGTCGCGATGAATGACGGCCGGATCGACGCCAGCGCCTTGGCGATCTGCAGCGTCTTCTGCGG